CTTACAAAGTGTAATTATGAGCCCCCTTTTCTAGGTGCGATGTATGAACGTGAAAGTTATTTTTCAAGGACACCAAATGTGAATACATTGTGGAGATTGTGAGGATAACTGACATTAGTTTTTTTATTGTTTAAAAAGGAATAAAAAATCCCATGCATTGGAAACCTAATCCAGACAGAAGTCTATGAAATCCTCTCCTCATTAAAGCAAAAACAACCCTTTTGTTTGCTGGATAATTAAAGTCTGTTTTGTGCATTCTTTTGTAAGTCAGTAGGATTTCTTTGGTAATATAAGTATTTAATTGTGAGTACTTTTTTTTTTTTTTTTTTGCAATAACTTGAATAGCAATTTAGCAATCTCCTTATGAGTACCCCTTTATATATTTTAGTAGTAAGATGGACAAGTTAGCAAGTTAGGCCCACCACTGTGAACTGGAAGAGATGTGCAAAGGTTTTATGACACTGATACAAAACCAGACAGTAACATCAAAAGACCAAATGAGTTCTTGCCTATAAAGAAGTAAGTATTACAAACCAGTGTGGTTTATCTGTTTTGCAGAAATGTTCGTATTAAGCAGAAAAGTGTGCCCTTGACAGACATGAGCTGCCCAGTATGTCTTCAGTATAAATACTACAGGGGAAGAGTAGGTGATATAATTAGTATGAGTGAGAGGTAAACAGCTTCAGAGTGGGACAGGAAGGATGCACGTTTTCTCCAGATTTGATTTCTTCTGTCACTGATAGGTTATGGACTACAAGTCTACCCTTAACTTCTATCTTCCTAAATCTGAGAAAGAACTGATTTGCATGATGTAAAGCTGAGTCAGTATTTAAGACTGATAACTGTACTGTTTTAGTAATTTTATTCCCTTAAGATCAAATGTTTATCTCTTCTCCTGTATCTGGTCCAAAAACATGAGGAAGGCAGACTTTGTAATGAAAGGTAAAGTCTTTTTTTAAGTCCAACTTATCTCATATAAAGACTTCTGAAAATTCAGAAGTCCTTATAAGATCTGAGTTTGGAAGGAAGGGTATTCCAGTTACTCTAATCTTTTAAAAAGGAAATAGATACTGTATTTTAGTTAGACCTTTGATATAATTTGCAAGATGCCAAATTCAAATAGGCTGGTTTTTTCATAAATTGTACCTTAAAACTTATTGCAAAAGAGAAATTAGTAATGAATGATGTGGCACATACATGTACATACAATGTAATGCTTTAAATAGTAGAAATGTGTCAGAATCTCTTAATGCTGTAATATTTTTGAGATGGGGCAAAACATTTGAACTTGGGTTTCTGAATAAAGAAGCAAAAAAGCAGTGAAGGAAGGGGAAGCTCTTTTTAGAAAAACAGAATTTTCTTTCTTTGTTTGTTCTTTTGCAAGTTTGGTTAGAGTTTAAAAATCCTGTGAACCACCAAAAATCAGGTCAGTTTTTCATTTTGTAATATATTATTAAGATGTTGAAAATTTCTTAGTGAGTTACAATTGCTTACAATATCCCCAGTCTGTACAGTGGTGATTTGATTTTTGTTCTAGAGAGAATTTCTTTAAGAGTGTAGGCACTTGTTCTATTCTTCATAACACCCCTCTTGTTCTTACTGAAATATCCACTGGGTTGGTGAATTAAATCTGCCTTCCTTGCAGGAGATGATTCAGTGTGTTGCATGCCAACAACATTCAGCAAATGTGGATAGTTCCTAGTGATTCCTAAACTCAGCATAGCAGTGTGGATGGCAGAGGTTTCTGGACTTCGGGATGCATGCCATGAATCATCAGAAATAGAACAATGAGCTATTGTGGGCGCTACAGTGACAGCTGTCAAGAATATCTGAAAACACCCTGTCTAGGAAGCAAGCTTTATATATCAGTGTTTTATGATAACATTCAACCGAATCGTGAATGCATGCATAGAAGAAGACATTTCTTGACACATTTCTTTCAGATTTTTATTTTGCAAGCAGTGGTAATTCAATGAGATGTGTAACATGAACTGCTTTAGGCACAGAAGTCATCTTCAGTGTTATTTCTTTTAAAATTGGGAGTGGATAATACACGTCTTTAATGGTATGTCCAGATTTTAGGAGTTAGGTGTGTTCAAGTGAGTTCAGGTATGCCCAGAGTTTAGATGGTTGTGGTACATAGCCTCCTCTGCTGTCAGGCTGTATTAATACTTCACGTGATACAACTTAGAGCAGGGATTTATATAGCTTTTCAAATTCAAAACAAAAAATCCAACCAAACAAACAAAAACAAGTGAAGAAGTAGATAGCAGAGATGGGACAGATCGGAATAAACCGAGCTGTTGTAGCAAGAACTGAAATAATCAAAAATATCTGATTTCATTGGAAGACCTCTCTATAGAGATCAGATTGCTACTTAAGGATGCAATTTCCAGGTTTTTCACCAAATATACATGAAGACTGTTGCTAATTATGTGTCTAGATTTGGTCTGAATAAAGTTGAAGACAGTGGCAGGCTGCTACTTGTATTGATTTACTCATCAAAAAAGGCAGAAATCACAGAATCACAGAGCAAGGTAAGGTTGGAAGGGACCACAGTAGATCATCTGGTCCAGTCTTCCTGTTCAAGCAGGTGAGGTTGCTGTTCATTGCAGTCAGTGAGAATCATTGCAGTTAATTACAAGATTCATATTAAAGTTTCTAGTCTGAAAATATATTTGGAGTTTTTTCTGTATATTTAGAAAACTAGTGAAAAAAGATTGCATAAGTTATGCAGAAAACTATGTTTAAACATTTTTGAATGAAGGTGTCTTGTTAGACCTTTAATGAATGATTTTTTATCTGTTCATGGGACTTTACCTCCCTCAATAGACAGGCTGGACAGTGCACTTTTTCAGACTTTTGATTTCTTCCCACCCCTCCCCTGTTCAGTCACTAAATACTGTACTAGACACAATACAAATAAATTTTTTAAGACACTGATTCTGAAATTTCTTTAGTGTACATCTAGTATTAAAGCATCAGATGAATTTTCAGAGTACTTAGTGGGATGAGGGTATATGGTACATATCTTGGAAAGTTGAACAGTTGAAATGCAGGAAAGAATAGTGGCCTGTTTTTCATGTCAATTTATTTCAGATATCTAAGACTCCTAACATGATGTTTAAAGCTGATTGATTCAAAATACACCCTGAAAAGACTTCAGTTTAAGAAATTATTGCTGTTAGTGTTGAAAAAGGATTATGTTAGTCCCAAGGTGAAAATCCCAGAGAAAACCGAGTCAGTAATATTTTTGAAAAATTTGTTTTAAACTACTTTGAGCTGTCTAAACAGAAATTGAGACAGTTCTGTTCTTTGTGTTGTTGTCTAATCATCCCTGATCCATGATGGTCCATACTGTTTCTTTGTGTGCAGCTGATATTTTCTTTAAATGCTTTCCTAACTTCCTTAGCAGGTAAAGTAACAGTCCAGTATGTTCTTTCCACTGTTGACTCTAATGAATTTTACTCAATTATAAGCAAAGGTCTCTCCTCATTGTAAAATGAGATGGAGGAAATGACAGAGTATTTGGCATCTGTACTGTTGTGCATACTTATAGCAGAGTAATTTATGTTACATTTAGAACTTTTATCCTGGAGTTCTCTAACTTCTGAAAGACTGGCATAACTTTTAGTAAGTTTTAATTCTGGTGTAACTGATGTAGTGCTTTTCAGTCTCCACAGTATTTTTTTTTCAAGTCAATCCATCTTTAGAATTTCCTTGTTAAATAAGAGGGCAGACAGGAAAACTAATGGAGAAGGTTAGTGTTCTGCCCAGCGAGCAAGAAGACCATTCCACTCTACCTGTTCCATATAAAAACCCTTCTTGTTAAACTTGAATACTTTAGTTAGATATAATTTCACTTTATTTAATCTTAAATTTAGTTCTGATTCTCACCTTTATGCTTAATCATTCGATCACTTCACCACTGGTTTAAGTGGTGGATGGAGCTGAAAAGCTGTCTTTAGCCTATGCTCATGAAATGATGGAAGAAATCTTTTATGCAGCATGTCTAAAATTCAGGAGTTGTTACATATTCTTCAGCTGTGTCAGTGTTGCATTTGAAGTTAATAGAGTTGAATCCATTTCCTTATATATGGTTTGAAAACCAAACCAAGACCAGGTGTTTATAATTCTGAAAGGAACAGTTAGGTGCATCTGAATGGAAGGGAAAAAAAAAATCACCTTTGGGGTTTTGTTGCTGAATGGGCTGTTGATGACTAAACTTTTTTAATGGAGTCTTGTTTTAATTTTTTTTTTTAATGTACGTGAGCCAGTCCCACTTAAATTTCATTTATGCATTGTTGTTCGAGAATGAGAATAGAAAAACTTGCTGGGTCATGCACAAGATGTCATAGTAACTGAAGACTTGCCAAAGAAGAAGAAATTCCAGCGAATGGTTATTATTTTGAGCAATGACAAAAACTTCTGTCCTTGATCACTAATGCTAAAACAATGCCCCTTCCTATTTATTTTTTTAGTCCTACTCAGATTTTTCAGGTGATTCTGATGTTTCTCATCAAAGCAAGCTGTGAGATGTTCTTTATGTTTGGGATGTGCTATTTGTTGTATACTGGCTTCTCATAAAACTCACGAGTCTTGAGGAAAGCAGCTTTTGCCGCTGTGTGGTCATAGCTGAAACCAACACTGTGACAGACTGTTAAAAATGAGGCCCTAATGCTCAGCTGGATACAACCCCTAATGCAGGGTCTGCCTTTATTTTGGTGTGTTAGCAACTGAAACACATGCACAGAAAAAGACTCGCTGTTCCATTTAGCTTACTGTTGTAAGATTCAAGTCATATCAGTTAAAATCTTGCAAGTTCATGCCAAAGCTCTTGTCTGCTCTTGGTAGGAAATGAGTTACTTTTCATACAATTTTAATTAATGTGTAGATTGTTTAACCTTTTTTTTTAATATATATATATTATTTGTAAATGCATATTCTTGTATGGATTTCTGTGTGTGTATATAAATCACCAGATATTTATTCTATTTTAGAGGTGCAACAAAAGCCCGGACATCAACCCATCCTAGTGTGGCAAGAACCATGAGCACGGGTGCTTTAACAAATAAAAGAAAAACTAGCAATTCAGACACTTACTTAAGGTAGCTTTTAATTTTGTGGATTTTATCATCAGTAGAACCTTCATTAAAGGAGATTACTTATTACAAAAAAAGTTGGGGAGAATATTGTTCTCTGCAGCTAATAGATAACTCATGGTTAATATTGTTTGGCATGTTTAAGGTACTCAATATATTTTGCATATTTATCATCTGACAGCACACCTTTGTCATGAGCTATCTCACATATACACAGAAGACCATGTTAGAAATGTCAGAAGCCTCTTAGGAGCTGTTGAAAAAATAGACAAATATTCTCTTAGCAGAAATTGAATGAAATCTTCATGCTAAGCACACAAATTGTCTGTTGTCTACCATTTCAAAGAGTAGGATGACAATTACATTGCTGTTTTAGCCTTTTTTTCTTTTTTTTTGGACAAGCTAAATTTTAAGTTTTCAAACCCTCCAGTTAATCTGACTAGTGAATCAAATATTTAATTCTGTTCCTAGAACTTTGACATTTTTCATTTTCTTGCAGGGAAGGTGGGTGTCTGGAGATCTGTAGGGGAGCCAGGGTAGAGTTATCATGTATAGCACTGTAAATAGGTCTACCACTGTAAATAGGAAGTGTAAGCATGAATATTACAGTAACAATAACTGAAATTCACTGCAGAGATTAGAATAATTTCACATCAAGTTATACTGAACTGACTGACAGAGAATGTTGTTTATTGGGAAATTTTCAGGTCTGATGGTAAAATTCTGTGTGACAGTGGAGACTGTGCATCCGCAATCAATGGAGGAAGTTCAAAAAGCAGCGAAGGAATTTCACCTGTACACTTATCAAAGTTCTGCCATGAATGTGGAACAAGGTATCCAGTGGAGTGGGCAAAGTTTTGCTGTGAGTGTGGAATTCGAAGAATGGTTGTGTGAACAGAACCTTAAAAGCAAAAAGAAAATGAGAAATTGGAAGCATCTGCTATGTACTGTTGCATGGAAAGCTAGAGCACTCCAGCCAGTTCGACTTCATGCTGCAACCATGTCTAAACATCATTTTGTAATCTTCTGAGTGCAATTCTGGTTACACATTTATTTATAAACAAATATATATACTGTATATAAAAATAGTAGCTACCTAAAACTGTGCCATTCAAGGAAATACTCTTTACTTTCTGTTGGAAATATTTAAAATTAAGGTAAACATGTGTTAAGTAATCTAGGTAGCAGAAGTGGTTCAATTTTTTTTTTTTTTTAAATCCTACTAGACAAAGGATTTTTTAAAATCACATATGCAGGGTAATACTTAACCATAGAGAACTAACCGTGAAGAATTTGGCCTTCAGAGGTTTCTCTGTGGAGGCATTTCCTTCATCTGTGTAATTTAGATGCTGTGTTCTAAGTGAAAACAGCATGAGCAACTCCTTATAAATTCCTAGTTAAAATTGTAAAAAGTCTGGATCTTTAAACTCTCTGATAGTAATATCCTAATTGGACTTTCCAGTTACTTCCTAGGACTTTTTAAAGAATCAAAGTGAAAAGACTACCTGGGAATTTTCTTTGCATGTAAGAAGAAAGGCAAGATTTGGCTTTTCATGTTCTGTTTTTCAAAAAGAACATAGATAATTTTTATCTATTTATAAGGACAAATATGATATCTTCATTTTATTAAGTTCCTTTTGTTCAGAAATACTTGTCTTCCTCCTCCTGTGCTCCACTATGACTAGCATATCTAAAAGTGTCATGCTTCATGTCTTTGTCTTGTTTCCAAAGATCCTGCTCATTTTTTTTCTCTTTCCTCATGTCCTGAAGGAAAGATGAAGTCTATGTTTATCATACCTAAATGTTGAACTATTATTTTGAAAACAGCCGCCTTGATGTATCCAATACCCCCAAAAAATAGTTCCATAAAAATGTATGTTATTAGAGCAGTACAGCTTGATGTAAGTAGTGACTCTCTTTTTATTCCTATTCCTGTGAAAATAGCACATCTTACATATGAGTGCATAGTGGAGTAGCTGTGGTTCATAGCTTTATATGTCAATACCTGACATGGGTTTTACTGCAATTTTGTGTATTCTTGGGCTCTGAACAGCAGCCTCTTGAAATTAGTAACAGACTTCACATTAATTCTTTGGGAAGAAGGGTCAGACCTTGAAAGTTGTTGGGTTCACAAGCCAAATCACTTACCTTGTATTTCAGTGTAGTAATTTGTTTTGTGACGTTTTGCTTTGAAGTACTTGCACCATCTTCATAAAGCGTAAAAGAACAATCTGAAACAACTCAACTGTGCCTTTCCCACAGTAAATACACTCTTTTTGTTAGAAATGAATACTTTCAGCTCACAGGCGCCATTAACATCAATTTATGTAATTTCTTTGTAGCTTATGAAAAATAGAATGTAGTGTTCCACGGTAGTGTTATGGTCATTGTTTGCATTCTCAAAAACTGTGATTGTTATCAGTGGGGCCAATTTAGAAGAAAGCATTACTGAAGAAAAATACCTTCAAAGCAGATACCAGTCTTGAAGGGTGAGAAGTTTAAGAGTCTTGATGTAGTCACATTTCAGGCCACAAACTATCAATGTTTTAGAATTAGTTCAATGATTGTCTTACAATTTTTATACCAAATTATTTTTAGAAATTATCCTTTATTCAGTGTAGTGTTATTATAATTGGTGTAAGATGGCTACTGAGCATGGTAGGATGGATAACTGGTAATGAGAGTTAGAACTGACAAGGCCAATTTATTTTCTAAGTAGTTTAGGTTCTGGGTTCTCTATTATGACACATTCGTTTCTGAACTTGGAAAAACTGGAATTCTGCATTCCTTTGCATTGGTAAGTCTGCTTTGGAAAATTTGCCCTGGACTTGGGCCATGGAGATCTGCAGACTGAACTGTTGCAAGCAGAGAGTCCATCAGCAAAGATACCAGTCCAGAACAGATTTGATCATTTAGTGAATCTACTCCGACTTGATGAATTTTCAGTTTGTTCCGCTGGATAAAGCATTTTGCCATTTATTGAAAATACTTTCTACAAAGGAAATACTTAGTATGGCACTAATGCCTTTCAGCTTTTCCAGGAGTAATGTGACTGTAGAAAAAAGAAACTATTTCTCCTTTGAGAAGGTGGCAGGTTTCCTAGTTTCAAATCAATCCCCATACAGTTAGCTTATTTTCTGCCTTCTGAGTTGTTTGTGTAATTCCTTGCTTTCAGGGCAGCGTTTAGTAAATCACTGGAGTAGCACATCATTTGCTTCATTTACACTTTTATGATTTATCACAAGGACTACACAGGAGATTTATCTGAACTGAAAATAAGATTTTTAAAACTGATTGTTTGGCCTTAAAAAGAAGGTCTATGAAGCATAACTGTTGATAGTAACATTGGATAATGTGTGTGTGTTTGAATCTACAGTAAATATAAGCAGACAATGAAATTATATTTGAGTGTGCAGTTGGCTACTATATAGTGAGATTATCAAAGGCCTAGTATGTTTCCTGTTTATCAGGTAGTTTTGTTACTGAATGACATAGATTTCCAAAGTCATTGATGTTACAGATCCTGTGTTACACAAGTTATCAGTAGAGATTACTGTAATTCCATCTCAGTGAAATGTTTGTAGAAAACAGCAGATTTGTTTTCATAATGCCCCTGCAGAAGTGAATGTGGGAAACAAATTTGTTATATTTGAAGAAAAAGAAATGTTAAATGAACTTTGAATTTTGAATCTTTAGTATATTACATGTGTCAAGAGTTCCCAAATTTAATTTATTAGTGATCTAAGTCCACATCCCCTTGTCCTAGTTTTCCCCACACCTTTATGCCTTGGTTTTCATGGGAGGAAAAAACATTAACTATGCACTATCTGTTTTATAGTGAAATTTATTGATGTGATTGTTTTAATGATTCCTGTACCATTGTCTGATGTTATGACAGACTTTTCCTTTACTGTCTGCCATTATATCTTCCTAATGTACTTACTAAGATTCTTCCACTCATTGAAGGAAAAAAAAAGTTGAAGGTAAAATTACATTTAAAGAAATGAGGAAAAGGCTGGTTTTGAAGCTTGGCCTGAGAGAGTTTGCATTCTCCTTCTACTTTAGTGATTATCTCTTATACAAGGGATCTCTCTGTGCCAGAAGTGCAGGATCATTGGATCTATGCTGATAGAAGTGCAATGGAGTTTTGAGAAATACTAGCTTCAGTAGTAAAAACAGCATAAGGCTTAATCTCTGTACGATGTATCCTACACAGGTTTATATTTATGCATGATACTTACACCCTAGGTAGTTTCAGAACTGGAATCCCCAAATGTACAGCAGTTAAAGTATGTGTTTATATGGATGATTATACCATCAGTCTTACACAGCAGTGCAGGGAACGGGGCACGGGGAGGTGCTTCAATGCCATTTCGGGTTGTAACTATGAAATGAACATTTAGGCAGAATTTTTCAAATTTGCCAAAGAGACTTGAGGAGTCCTTGAAGTCCCCTGAGTGAATGCGAAAGCTCCTCCTAAGGGTTCCCAGCCGGGAGGGTGGCGCAGCAGGGGGAGCTCTCCATGGTGCTCCGGCATGGAGCCTCTCCCGCAGTGCCAGGGCAGCAGCTGCTCGAGCACAGACACGCGTCCCCCAGGTTTACAGGATGGTGACTCCAGATTTTAAGACCTGACCCAGTTTTTTTGTCATGGAAGTTCTCTGTCTTTTGCAAGACACTACTGGCTCCGAGTTCACCATCGCAGCTGAGAGCGTGTGCAAAGAGAGTGGTTCCATGATGCGTGCTTACCAAATCAGCGGAAGGAGGAATGACTGCAGTAGTTTAAATGCTAATAAACAAGCTATGTGTTGGTGCACACTAATGGAAGCTGTAATTAGTCTGCATATAAAATTAAGTGGTATTGTCTGCATAGGTATTGCAAAGCTCACAAGAAGTTCTAGTTTCCATCACATAGACTTTGTATATGGGCAGCGAACAAATCTGTTATGAGCGTTTTTTAATCTTGGCTGACAAATTTGTGATTTGTAAGAGCACTTTTTGCAACTTTAATTCTATCCAGTTTGACAAAGCTATGAATAATTATATGGGTTGTATGACTGGGTAGAATTTTTATCTTTGGTAAAATTGGTTTTAGTGACTCTGGTGAAAATAGTTTTATTGCCTTTGAAGTACAGCTTATTCCAACTTGTGATAATTTTGTTACTAGTTGGTTTGGTTGGGTTTTTTCTCCAACTTGCTGAGTAAGGTTTGAGTGACCTAACTGTGTTGTTGGAAGAAGTGTTAGGTAAAAGGCTGTGTTAACTGTATTTGGTAGTTACTTGGTTGATATTTTCTTTCCAGTATTCACAGTATAAAGATTATTCTTGCACATTAGGTAATTTTTTGTTTTGTTTTGGGTTTGTTTTTTTGGTGTTATGTCAGTCCAGAATGCACATTTCTGGAGGATCCTGTTTAGGCCCATTCCACTTCATCTTGCCAGAAAACAGCTTCTTCAGGCTTCCTCTTAATTAGTGCTTTTTCTTCACAAAATTAATCAGCAGGGAAATCATATTTCCCCAATTTGAACATAGTATTTTGAGTTAGCAAATCAAGTATTCAGTTTAATATAGCTGAATATTGAACATAAGTTCTAAATAGGAGTGCATGGTTTACCACACTTCTTTGTTTCTGTTTGGCTTTCTGGCAGAACCATGAATGGATTTGGGTGGAATCTGTAGAGTGCTGCGTATGCTATGACTGTTACAACACCTACTTTATATGATTGCTTTAATTCTTGGTGTTCATTCCTCATATGACACTCAATATGTTTATCTTTGTAAGTTTATTTATTGATGTTCCATGTTTTTAAACTATGTGTTCATTCATGTGTTTGAGGTGATTAATTTTGTCAGCATTGCATTTATTTTGTTTGCCTTACCCCTCAGTGCATTAAATATTTGTGTTTGCGACCATCCAGTGGGGGTCTTTTTTGCCAGAATTCCTGGGTTTGTTTGCATTTTATTCGGTATATTTTGTTTATTTTAAAGTGTTGGTTCTGTTTTAATTAATAAATGTTAATCAGCACCTAATGCTAATTTGCCACTTGTTAACAATAAAGCAAATATGCTGATAAAACTTCTTGTGATGCACAAATTTTTGTAGTGAAATGCAGAATTGTCTTAAATGACGTGGCATAGGGGTAGATAATATAATTTCAGCCTTATTCAGGTACACCAGACATGATATGAAGACCACCCACTGTCTTCTGCTGGTAGCTGGGAGTGAGCCACTTCGTTGTTATTTTCAAAGAGTAGGGTTTTTAAATTTACTGGTGAGATGAGACTTGGATTCCTCAGTCACACTGAAAAATACTCTATACCTGATATTTACATCAGTGTGATCTGCTTATATAAAGTTAACTCTGTATGTCTTCCTTTTTCCCCAATAGGCTGAGAGAGCTGGGTTGTTCAGCCTGGAAAAGAGAAGGCTTTGGGGAGACCTTATTGTGGCCTTCGAGTATCTAAAGGGTGTTTATAAAAAAGATGAACAGGGACTTTTTGCAAGGGCCTGTGGCAGGACACAGGGGAATTATTCTAAAAAAAAAAAAAAAGAGGAGAGATTTAGATTAAATGTTAGGAGAAAATTCTTTACTGTGAGGGTGGTAAGGCACCAGAACAGGTTGCCCACAGAAGTTGTTGATGCCCCATCCCTGGAAGTGTTCAAGGCTAGGCCAGACTGGATGCAGCTTTAAGCAACCTGGTCTAGTGAGTACCCTCCCTGCCAATGGGAGGGTCTTTAAGGTCCCTTCCAAACCTTTCTGTGATTCTATGATGATTCTGTGATTCACCATATCTTCTTCAGAGGAAGGCAGATACATTTTCCCTTCATTTTTGATGAAATTCATTTATGTGC